AAAATCCTTCGCTGATCCCTCGCAGATCAGCGAGGGATCTGCGAAAGAATGTGAATTTTGTCATTTCCCTCGTTGATCCCTCGCTAATCTGCGAGGGATCTACGAGAGATTTTTCTATTTTTCTTATTTTTTGGCAATTCCCTCGCTGATCCCTCGCTGATTTGCGAGGGATCAGCGAGAGAATTTGCAGAAGAAATTTCTCTTACAGATCAGCGAGGGATCAGCGAGGGAATGAGTTTTTTGGCATTTCCCTCGCTGATCCCTCGCTAATCTGCGAGAGATATTTTCCCTCGTTGATATTTGTCGTTGATATCTGGTTTTCTAGTAGTGAAACTTCACAACAAAACGCTATGAAAGTTAAAAAAAATCGAACATTCACAGCAAAAACACTGTGAATGTTACTTTCACAGTGTTTTGCTGTGAAATTTCAAGTGTAAAAAATGATCGCATGGATCTCATGAAAATATGATGGTCTCATGTGATCCAAGTCTCTCTCTATATATATATATGTGTGCGCGTGCGCGCACGTATGTGTGTGTGTGTAAGTGATGATATTTTAAGGATCTATTATAACAAATTATAAAGGGAAATGGGTTGTGAAAATGTAGATCAAAATGATCTCTTTGAAGCTTTGACCATGGCTACCTTTTTGACTTGCCAAACCTACCCATTGACCAATATGATCCATGGTTGCAACAATCATTTTATTTGGATAAATATATTATTTTTGGTATTATTTATTTAAATTATGTAATTTTTAGAAATATTTTTATTTTATTTATGAATCAATATAAATAAAGTATCTTTAACAGATTTTTCAAAATAAAAACTAAAATTCAGATAAGTGGACTCAAACGGGTCCTTTTGACCCACGTTGTTGTTTAAACCTCATCAAAGATGATTGATAGAGATGAACCTTTCAAGATGTTAAAGGTTCAAACCTCATCAAAGGTGAGCAGTGTGTGTAAGTATTTACATTATTATATAATTCAAAAAAGACGTTTTAATATTCTATCGCCATTTATACACACTGTCATTTGCTATGTCTCAATATGACAATGTATGGTTCGTCATTTTATTTTAACAGATTAATTTCTTTTTATACTTGTGGTGTTCAGTCAGCTTGTGCGTACCTCGATTAATCCCATTAAGTTCTAAAGTTAATAGTCAAAAAAACCTTCAGTAATTTATGTTTTTCGTTCTTATGATTTGATTTTTGTCCTTGTGGTTTATAAATTACGGTTTTAGTCCACAATTTATAACTTATTGTTATTTTTGTCCATATGATTTTAATTTATTGTTGTTTTGGTCCATGTCATTTACAACTCTTTATTGGTTGATCTTTTGTACTTAAAGGTAGGAATTAGTTCAAGTACGAAAGTTGCAATAAAATGCAAACCATTGGGACGAATGTCGCAAATTTTAAATCACAAGGACGAAAATAGAAATTTTAAAAACCACAGCGACTAAATCGTAATTTACTTTATCTATCTATAACATATTATAAAACATTTGACAAAAACTCTTAATAATTATTTTCATGCATTAAGTAATGTTTATTGATGCATATTACTTAAAATTTAATATTACAAGTAAATTGTGCGTATGGACAACTTATTAAAACTCCATGTTTGAATTCGTGTAACAAACTGCAGATGAAAATAATCAAATACATGATAAATGTTTTATTTTAAATATAAAAAATCTAAAATATAATTAAAATAATAATTGAGTTTAACAAAATAATTTAATTGTTATTTTTGTAGAAAATTATATACTTAAAAAAAATTAATTCGTTATTAAACCTAAATTAAATTAATGTAAAAAAATTAAATTAAAAAAGTTACATAAAATAATTAAAACTTTTAAATAGTTAATTCGATATTAGTATCGATATTTTTTCCGAATTTTTATGATATTTTTAAATTTTATTTAAAATAAAATCATTATTGCTATCTCAAAACTATATAAAACTATAGTATAACATCAACATATTCAGAATAAAACAAAACATTAAAATCAAGATGTATCTCGTTGAATTACAAAACTACCCTTTTAGTTATTTATAGCATCTCCAATAACTTATCCAAAATTGAGAAAATAAGGATTTTAAGTCAATTTTTTGCTCCAACAACTTTCCTAAAACTATCTACAAAATGAAGAAAATAAGAGAGAGAAGGTTGGTTATTCAAATATGGAGCACACCTAAAAAATGATTACCAAGTGAAATTATGAAAATAAATACTTAGAGAAAGAAATTAATAAATGAATGGAATATTTTAATATTACTAAAAGGGTACTCGTATAATGCAACGAGATATATCTCGATTTCAATGTTTCATTTTATTTTTTTCGTCTCCGTCGATGTTATGATATGAATTTACGTGGTTTTGAGCAAGCAATAATGTTTTTCTTAATAAAATATAAATTTGAAGATAACATAAAATTTAAAAAAAATATAAAATTTCTTAATTTTTTTGTGTAATTTCTTTAATTTAATTTTTTTATTATAATTTAATTTAGGTTTAATGACAAAGTAATTTATTTTTTGTTATCAAATATAATTTTTATAAAGATAATAACTAACTATTCTGTTAGAACTTAATAATTATCTTAATTATATTTTAGATTATATATTTAAAATAAGAATTTTATCATGTATTTGATTATATTTATCTATAATTAATTATACGAATTCAAACATAAAACTTAATAAGTTGTATTTAAGCATAATTTATTTGTAATCTTGAATTTTAAGTAATATATATCAATAAACAGTATTTTATTATAAAAAATAAGTTTTTAAGAGTTTTTATCAAATATTTTAAAATAAAAAAACTGTTAGAAATGAAAGCAAAATCTTGTATCTCTTACTAATATTCTTAACTGCTTTCATGATGTTTCAGGACTGCGCATTAACTTATCCAAATGCAATCTCTTTGGTATTGGT